AAAAAAAAAAAAAAAAAGAATTAAGTTCTGGCTGTGACCACTACTGATAGACCTACCAATAGCACTACAGAACTGAGTAGTGAATGGGCTCAGAGTATGGAGGTATGAAGAATGTGAAAACATAGGTTTGGAGTCATAATGATTTCAAGTTTCCCAACTTTCTTTTACCTCCTGTTTCAGATTCAGGTTCGGTGAAGCTATTCTCACTTACAGTATATTGTTCTTCTAAAATTTTTACTAATGATGAATTTATTAAAAGTTTAATATTTTAATCAGTTCAAAAATAGCCTGAGAAGAAATTAATTACTTTTCTAATTTAATTATTTGAATTGCATTTGTGCTCTGCAAATTTTAGGATTCAATTCATTAAATATTGAGCAGAGCACTTGTTGGCTTTGTGAAGTATTGATTCAAAGGCACAGTCATGATCCTTGCTATCAGGGAGCCTTGAAAAAGTGGCTTTGGCAGAGCTGCAAAGGATGTATAATAAAACCTGGCTTTCTAGTTTTAGCTTCACTTCTGTCATGCTTGTTGTTCAGTGAGTGTTCTGGAAATGCAGCATAAAAAGGATTCATCTTTTTAGAAGTCTGATTTTATATTCTGAATTTTGCTAATGCATTTGGATATTTTAAACACTCACCTGAGCAATGAATTTTTAAGCACTTCTATGGAAATTAAGTGCCTATCTTAGTAAAGTTCATTTGCATAGTTTGAACTGAATTATGACCTTCTCCCTTAGATTTTTAGCTTTTATAAACTGGGAGCAAATTATGACTAAAATAACTGAATGTCTGAATTATTACCAGTAATTCCCATCTGAGGCTTAAACCTATAGAAAAATAACATGTAAAAAGCGTTGTCATCCGAACACATTCTTGCACCAGTCATTAGTGTTTAGTGGTTAAGAAAGTGGACTGCACAGTCGGCCTGGATTCCCCTCCCTTCTTCACTATTTAGTTGTTTCATCTCAGGCAACTTACCTAACCTCTCTGAGCTCTGTTTCATCACCTGTTTTGTGAGGATTAAATGAGTTAGTAAAGCACCTAGAATTGTGCCTGGGATTTCATAAGCTCACAGTAAATGTTGATGGTGGTAGTTGTTGTTATAAATAATTCAAGTAGAATAATATGCCACACTTTCAGTGAGCCGGAAAGAGTGTACTTATTCAAATAACTTTGAAGTTAATTTAATGAGTTGACTTGAATCTTAATATAAATGAAATGAATTTATTCAAAATTTTCAGAGCGTGGCAAAAAAAAAAAATTCATCTCCAAATGACAAAATATTTAAGACTTTATATAAGAATAAGTAGTGTGTGTATGTTATTACCTGAAAAACATTTTATTATATAGGCTCTCCACCTTTTTGTAGACTTAGTGTCCCTACTCAAGAATGGTCGTCGAAACCATGCAATCTCACTGCTATTAGAGGATTTCCTTTCCCCTGTCTGAACCATCTTGCTGTAGACCCTGTTGTGACCTGGGATCCTATTTCCTGCTAGTGTCTATTGTGACTAGTATTTGGCCTCTACCTGCCTCTCTACCTTTATCTTTTCTCCTTAACCACCCATGCCCTACCTATAATGAACAGTGTACTTTCTCTCAGTGCCCATGCCTGCATCCACATACCTTTGTGCTGCCAACGTTATTTCTTACTTGTACTCCTGCTCCTTCACCCACTTTTGTCTGGCTAAATCCTCATCCCAAAGGATGAGAGGTCTTCCTTTATGCGCCCCTGCTATCCTCCACCACCAAAATTTGGTTAGATAACCTCACTGAAACACTTGCTTAAACTTTCACATCAGCGAGACTCTAAGCTTAAAGAGATACATACAGATCCCTTTTAATCATGGGTATTCCTAAGAGTGTGAAGTAACAAGAGTGTGTTAAGCCATAGTCACTCTGGGTCTTGTTGCTTACCCCAGACTGGTATATGCTGCTGGCTGCGTGGAGAACTGGCACAAAGTATGTTGCAGGAGCCGTGGCAACTTGTATAGAACGTAACTTCGTGACTATCCTGAGAAAGGAGAACTCTAACTGGCAGATACTTTCGAAGCTTTGTGGCCTAATCAGTACCACCATCTTCTAGTGCTTCCTAACGTAATACTAATTACCTTTTTGTTGGTCTCTAGGCTAGGGATGAGATTGTGTCCCTAGCGTCTAGCATGATATCTGGCATTCAGTAAATATATTTTTTAATGAATAGATTAATTAATGTCTTTTTGTGGCAGAACAAATGGTAGAGGAGGGAAGGGAATCCCAGGCCCTGTTCCTCATGATTTCTCCACTTTTCCTTCACTATTAATGTTACTATCCAAAGTCTGTGACTTAACTCTTGTTAATTAATTCTGTTTATATTTGAAGAATCAAGAGAAGCTAATGAAAGAACTCAGACAGCTGCAACAAGAGGACCTGGCACGGAGGAGACAGACTGTAGCACGAATGCCACCACAGCTGGTTGAGCTCCCATACAAACGCAGTGAGATGAAAGAAGATTGGCAGAGAGAGCTGGAGTTTGCCTTTGAAGACATGTACAATGCAGACAGGAGTAAGATATTTTCAATAAACTTTCAACAATGCTTTTAAATGTTTTAGTGGAGAAATACGTTTGTGTTGATGAAACAGTTTTTCTTTTGAAATGAGTTCTGTTTGAAAAAGACCCTCATATTTTAGACTGAGAAACTATGATGGTCTTTAAAATTTTATGCTAGGGCCGGCCCCGTGGCTTAGCGGTTAAGTGCGCGCGCTCCGCTGCTGGCGGCCCGGGTTCGGATCCCGGGCGCGCACCGACGCACCGCTTCTCCGGCCATGCTGAGGCCGCGTCCCACATATAGCAACTAGAAGGTTGTGCAGCTATGACATACAACTATCTGCTGGGGCTTTGGGGGGAAAAATAAATAAATAAAATCTTTAAAAAAAAAAAAAAAATTTTATGCTAAAGTTCTTTTTAGTCATTTTGGAATGGAAACATGTCTCTATTTCTTTATTGAGAGGTGAAAGGAAACCTGATTTTGCACCTTGAACCAGAGCCTTTGCCCGCTGTGACTGATCAGATCCAAGATGAAGAACTGGACCTTTCAATGGAACAGGAAAATTTAAGTGAAACTGAAAACCTTCCAGTGACAGAAGCTGAGACAATATGTTCTAGTGAAGCAGACGGTAAAAACTCCTTCTGAGCTGAATATTACAGTATTTCTTAGGAAAAAGTGCTAATCATTTGTCAACAGTTAGGAACGTTTGGTCTAATTTAAGTGCAAACAATGACTAATACTAATGGGAGTGATGAAAGGAGAAAACAATGTTTTCAGATTTCTGTCATTAAAGATCCTTTTCACATACCTTGGAGGGAAGTTATTTTATTCATATGTACATATAGTCTGAAGATTTTCAGGTTATTTTGTTTAGATTCTCAATTCTGAATTCATTTGAGAGGGCAGCAGTTTTTTCAGACTTTCAACAAATCACCAAAGAGATCCTAACTGTGTTAATTACTGCCAGGCACTCATGTATATGATGAATAGCACAAACTTAGATCTCTCTTCTAAATTTCATCCCTATCTCCACCATTCTGAATTTTTCCACTTGGCTGTTGCACAGGTACTTAAAATTCAGTGTCTAACAATAGATTTATCATCTTCTCTTGCCTACTGAAACCTTGTCTTCCTGTTTTCCTCATCTTAGTGAATGATACCACTATCTGCAGTTATCAAAGCCAGAGCAGTGAGCCTTACCTCTAACACTACCTTCTCTTTTACTCCACATCTCCTTAGAGAACAAGCCCTCTTCATTTTCACCTCTTTTTTCCCCCATACCTACTACTGTTGCCTTTGTTCCAAACCATTCAGGCCTTCTTATCATCATTTACCCTACACTGTGGATGGGTAGCCCTTTGGGGTTCCAACTTTATGTGGGTCTTCTACTAGACTCCTTGGGTGAGAGCTCTAGGCTTTATCTCTGCCTCTTATGCCCACACTACTGTCCAGACGAAGTGTAAGTTTACTGTGGTTTGTCATAAACTTCAGAAGATGGTTTCAGGGCTCACTTGCCTTCCAGAATTGCCACTTAAATTTCATTTCTGGCCTCTGCAGAATCTTTTATTTCCTTGCCAGATCAGCAGTGGCTTTAGGAAAAAAATTTTCTATTTCATCCAGCTTTTTTAGTTTTTTCACTGGGACTATCACTGAGAGCTAGTTTGTAAGAGGTGCCGGTCTTGCCTTACCTAAAGACAGTTCTTCTTCAGCTCCAGCTGATTCCATTTGGGATTGCTGGCTTGGTGTTGCCAGCTCTCTTGATTTTTCAAAAGAACCCGGGAATCCCATTGTTTTTAAAATCTTTATTTTTAAATATTGCCAACTAATTTAATTTATTCTTAAAAACGAGTGAGTCACAGACTAATGGTGAATGAAAGAAGCCAGGCAGAAAAGAATACCTAAGTATAATTCGGTATTTATATGAAGTTAAAGAAAAAAAAAACAGGCAAAACTAATCTGGTCTCAAGGTTAACAACAGTGGTTATTGTTAGGAGTGTATTGACTGGGAAGGGGTTGAAGGAGCCTTCTAGGTGCTGGAAATGTTCCACATAATGATCTGGATGGTGTTACACAGAGTACATATAAAATTCATTGAGCTCTACACTTAGGTTTTGTGTAATTTATTGTTTGTAAATTAAAACTCAATTAGAAAGTTTGAGGAAAATGTGAGTCAGACAGCACTACAGTCTGCCAGTTTTCAACCTCTGTAGATTTCTTAAATTTTATTCCTATCTATTTGCAACAGGTTTGTCCCCATGGACAGTTGTTATCACTGTACTGAGTTTTGGCATTGTACCATCAGCCCATATGGAAGGCTATTAGAGGAAGCAACTTAAGAATTTCTTTTAACTGAAGGGATCTCTTTAGGATGATAAGTGGGAGAAATTTTCCCAAGACGGTGCCAGAAATAATTTGGGAGTACTTCATTTGCTTTTAAGGTTATAACTAGTAATGTTTTCCTCTGTAGCCTACCTAAAAAGTACCATATTTTGGACCCTTTTCTAGCATAGAGTATAGAACCTTACAGCACGTATTTTGAATGTTAGTCTTACCTACAGATTAATTAAGAGGTATGCATATGCAGTCTGTCATCTTTTAGTAAGCAGAATAAACATGTTTCTGATGAGTTTTTAAGCTTGAAATGTGCGTTGCATGCATATTGTAGGAAAATGGTTGAATTTTGGTGCCTTTATTTAAATTTGACAAAAATATTCTTGGTTATAAAATTGTGATTGGCATCAAATAACGTTGTATATACTGTTAAATTATAAATATTGAGGAAAAGGAAGTTGTGCTTTTGTTTTAACTAGTGGTTATAGTGGTAACGAAGTATCAAGACTGATATATAATAGGTGCTGATAAGCTTTTTTCTTTTCTTTTAGTTCCTTTGTCAACGAAGACCCACCAGGTCCCTTCAAAAATTCTTTTTAAAAAATTATTAAATAAGATCCGAAGCCAAAAATCTCTCTGGACGATTAAATCCATGTCTGAGGATGAAAGTGAAATGATTACGACTGTTAATGAAACAGAGAGTAAAGCACCAACAGTTGAATCAGGAACAACCGCTAGTGAAGAGGGAACATTATCCTCGGGACAGGAACAAGGTGGTTCTCTCCAGTAGTCTTGTTTTGTAATACATAACCCTTTCTAAGTTGTTCATAATATGCTCATTCCTGAAAAATCAAAGAATAGAAGTCAAAAGGAAGAAAACATTTTAAAGTCCATAATGCTGCTGCTTGAAGGCAATAAATGTTAAACAGCTAAGTGACTCTCCTTCCAGACCACTTTCAATGTAGTAGTATTATTCATATATATTAATTCCAATGTAATTGTTGAACCAAAATTAACCAGTTCTCCATTGTTGAGACATTTAGGCTGTTTCTAGTTTTTCTTGTTATTTCTTGTGCTGCAGTAAGCATCCTTTTAGCAGAATCTTCCCACATCTTTGATTCTTTCCATAGGAACAACTCTTGAAAGAAGAATTCCTGAATCAAAGGATATGAACATGTTAACAGCTTTTGAGTGTACTGTATTATGGTTTATTCTTAAGAGTTTTGTTGTCTGGATTTTTTTTTTTTTTTTTTTTTGTGAGGAAGATCAGCCCTGAGCTAATATCCGTGCCAATCCTCCTCTTTTTGCTGAGGAAGACTGGCCCTGGGCTAACATCTATGCCCATCTTCCTCTGCTTATATGGGACACCGCCACAGCATGGCCTGACAAGCAGTTCATTGGTGCGTGCCCGGGATCAGAACCCGGGCTGCCAGCAGCAGAGCGTGCACACTTAACCGCTATGCCACGGGGCCGGCCCCCATCTTCTGGATTTTTTTAAAAATGTGATTGGATTTGTATGGAAATGTTTTGCTACCAGGCTTCTGAAAGAAGTGACTTATAGTCTGTATTTGGATTTTGGATTTTATCTTAAGTACAACGGGAAGCTTTCTGGATATGATTTCTTCACTTGAACTCTTGACAGCACTCTCTCTTGATTTTCCTACCTCACTGGCTCCTCCTTCGTGGTTTCTTTTGCTGCTTATCCTCGTCTCTACAACCACTAGTCATTGCCCCCAGACCTTGTTCCTCAAATCTTTTCTCTTTGCATCAACACTCCTAATTGATCTCTAATATCATAACTTGACTTTACCATCTACATACTGATGATTTCCAAGTGTGTCTTTCTAGGCTTGGCCTCTGCTTGGAACTCCATTCATTTAAACATCTGTTTGACATCTTCCTTGTATATCTAATTACATCTTGAACTTTTCTGAAACTGAACTCTTGATATTCCCTTCTACCCCTCACCTGCTTTTCCTACAATCTTCCACATTTCAATAAGTGGTAGTAAAATGCTCCTGCTCAAGCCAAAAAGCTTGTCATTCTGGTTCCCTTCTTTTATACCCTACATTCCAAATCATCAGCAGATCCTGTAGTCCTACCCTCAAAATGTATCCAAAGTCGAACCATTTCCCACCACCTACCATCCTAGTTTGAGCCATGTTCATTCTCTAGTATAGATTCTTGCAGTAGCTTCCTAACAGGTCTTCTGCCTTCAGTTTTTGCACATCCCTGCTATAGTCTATTCCCAGAGTCATCCTGTTAAAACACACGTCGGCTCATGTCATTCCTCTGGAGAAGCCCTCCAACAACTACCTGTTTCACTCAGTAAAAACCGAAGTGCTTACAGTGGCATCAAAGCCGTATGTGATCTGCACACACCCACCTCTCCCCTCCACTTCTCTCATGCTCACTCTCTCTGACTTCATTTTCTGCCACACCTCCCTTCCAAGCCACTGCACCCTAGGCACTGACCTCCTTCCTCTCTATTCCTCAAACTGCCAACATGACTCACATGGTCTTTGCAATTGCTGGTCTTTTTGGCTGGAATGCTCTTGGATATTTCTATAGCTCTCTCTCTCACTTCCTTCAGACACTTGCTCAGATACCACTTTCTCAGTAAGACCTTCTCTGACCGCTGTTATAAAACGGCAAGCTTCTGCCCCTCCCCTGTCTCCCACCTCCTTCACTCCCTATCCCCTTTACCTTGCTTTTTCTCCATAGATCTGATCAACATCTGATGGACCATAAATTTACTTTCTTGCTTATTTGCTTCTTGTCTTGACACCTACCCCTCTCCACCCAGTCCCAGAATGTAACTTCATGAGGGTAGGATCTTGGTTTTGTTCGTTGCTATATCCCCAGAGCCTAGACCTAGTGCCTTGTACATAAAAGGTGCTCAGTTGATATTTGTTGAATTAATTGATTATCTAAGAGCAAGAGAGGTAAGTTTGGAAGTCAGACATATATATGATATTGAAAGCTATGGGCATGGAAGACTCTTTAGGGGAAAGAATTCAGTGAGAAGAGGGCTTATAAGGCCAGCTGAGGGCTTCTAGCATTGAGAAGATGGCTAGAGAAGGCACAGACAGCAAAGGCAATAAAAAGGAGTGGCTGAAGAAGTAGGAGAGAGTATGGTGTTGGAATTCAATAGAAGGGGGCTCTCTCATCTTCAGTCCATAACCAAGTTATTTTGGAAAAGGCCCTGTATGAGTAGGCTTTCTCTAGCCTCATCCTGCTTCATTCTCCCCCTTGTCTGAGTACACCCCATATACATTGATTCTCTTTCATTTCTTGCATGAGCCAAGTTTTTTTATCCTCACTGGACTTAATACCTGCTGATCTGTCTGGAAAGGTCTCCTGTCCATCCCCACATTTACCTGGCTGATTCTTCCTTTTCTTCAGATGTCCACTTAAATGTCATTTCCTGAGAGATCTCATCTGAGGCCCTCTTCTAATTCAGGTCCCCTGTAATAGTGTCTTGTATAACCCTTTATTTTTCTTATAGCGTGCTTACCACAGTTTCTCATTTTATAATTTTTCTTCTGGGATAATTGTATGTTTCTGTCCCCACTCACCCTATAAAACCTCCTGGAGTGGATGCCTTTTCTTATTTACCTCGGTGTCCCCAGCCCGCAGCACATGAGTAGGTGCTGAATGAATAAGTGAGTGAATGAATGAATGAATGTTTGATGCAGAGTTTCTGGCTACCCTGATATGATTGCTTTATTTTTTTATTTTTTATTTTATTTTATTTTATTTTATTTATTTATTTTTTCCCCCAAAGCCCCAGTAGATAGTTGTGTGTCATAGCTGCACATCCTTCTAGTTGCTGTATGTGGGACGCGGCCTCA